AACGTTGACTGGCGATTTTATGGACTGAATTAAAGGCTTGGTACTGACGCTGCAACTACATATAAAGGTTTGGGACTTCGGCAGTAAAAATAAAAGGTTTGGGTATAATCTGCAATAAAATGAAAGGTTTGGGACCACGGCCGCAATTTTCCCTTTTATTTATCTATTGAACTTTCAATCCCTAAAAAGACTTATCCTTTATCTTGGCACGTTGATAATCGGTTAGCCAATTCAACAAGCGATTCGCTGGCGACTGCGAGTATGTTTTCATTGCTTAGGTTTTACTTTGTTATCTCTTTTGAATTATTGTTTTCCTCAAGGTTCATTTCTATAATTTTGGTTTTTATAATTGGAGTTCAATTACTGGATATTGCTTATGCATAACGGAGCTTTTTGATTTTTAGTTTGTTCCTTTAATTTAATTAGGAGCAATACAGTAAAGTTTTAATAGTTATCATGACGAACAAGATGCCTTAAACAATTCAAATCGTGTCTGTCTGTTTTTCTGAATAGTAGTTTTTCTTTCTCTCTATTACATCTTGCCTTTTAGTTTCTGATGAAGGGGATGTCTGTGGTAGAAGGCTGCTACCTTCGTTTTGAAGAATTGGCGATCTGGGGTTTGGCTAGCAAAAATAATAAAAATTTAATTCTGAGACTAAGATGCTTATATAACCACGTTAATAGTTACGTTGTGTATCATGTTTAGGTTACCTTGATCATTTACGTAGACGTACTTTTGTTTCGCAGGGCTGAGGCGAATTTCAAAATTTGGGCTCCTAAGCAATTTTTTTTTTTTTTCATTTATAAGAATTTTACGGAATTAAATGTGTTAACTTAAAATTAAGAATTAAACAACAAATAAAATAAGATATTCAAAATATTTATATTACAATCAAATAACAATGAAAAAATGTTTTAAACGATCACTTATATACAACCCCTATCGCGGTTTTAGAGTAAAAACTGTAGATCAATTTTTGATAGTTGAGTTGTTCAACCATTTTTTTATGATGGATAACATGGTCAATCTATTCAATCTTTGCTATGATTATGTTGATTGGAGATAAATTTTAATCTATTTCAACTTGGAGAAACATCTTGCTGATGCAATTGTAACTGGTGATCTTGTAAGCGATGCAAGCATTTGGGAAACAACATTCATTTTCTTCAAGTAATGTTGCACATCAATTAATCTTTGTGTTTATATAGGTAAATAACACTTCAAGACTATCAACTCCGAACATAAGTTGTTCACAATCTTCTCAAAATGCCAAAGCATTTTTAGCTAGTTTTTCACTATATCAATTGTCCTCGTTAACACTTCTTTTTAGTGCTCTATGTCTTTGTTAATGGCCAATTTTATGATTTCGTCAATTGTATGTTTTGTTTGAAGCATTTTTTAGTTTCATCCAACTAGTCATGAAACCTATATTCTCCTTAGCCGCTTCATGTTTTGTAAGACGTCGATGGACATTATGCTAATCTTAGTATCCTTCACTACCCAATTAGCTAATACTTTTCATCATTTTTTCTATCTTAAACAATTTACAGCAAAATCAAAAGATGAGAGAGTGGTAGTCCATTTAGGGAGAAAAATAACAATGTCAGCAACTGAAAATAGTGAATGAACCAAAGGGAAAAGGCAAATTTATAAGAATGATAAAATAAATACATACATAATAATAATTAATAAACAATGGGTAGTACTGTATTGATGAATCCCCCATGAGTCATAATCATAAATCAAATATAATCCACTATCCACAATCAAAGAATTAAAAGCTATTGTAAACTAATCACCTATGATGCACCGACACGGACACATGTGTCTGACACGATACGTGTCGTATACGCCAACACGCGATTTTTAAAAAAAATACAAACATGATACGTCATCGACACGTTGATTAAGTTCTTAAAAATTCTTCATTTATATATTATAAATTTAGTTTTATACTTGTTAGTAATTTCTCTTATTGAAATCTTTTAAACATAAGTACATATTTGTTACTTGCTAATTGGTCCGGCTTTGGGTTTGCACTCCAATGGTCACCAGTTCCAATCCCCTCAGGACCATTGAGGTGAGTACTCGATCGTAAACTTCAGGGCCCC